TTTTGTGCACATATGTATTTCCTTTTCTCTTTTCTTCTTTTTCTTCTTTTTCATTTTCTACTATTCTTCTTTTACTTCTCCATCAAATATTAAAAACGTAATTATAAATTTACTTTTTTCTTTATATTCAACTGAAATTAAAACTCAATCTACTATTTATTCTTTATAAATTCTGTTAGATAATTCAATTTAATTGTAATTATCTTTGTTTATTAGATTAGTATTAGTGGACTTTTTAATTAAAGTGGGCTAGCTAATTATTTGAACTAGGCGTGCGGTTATTCTCTGTCCTATAAATATAGGCAGAGGTTCGAAGTTCGAACTTCTCCCCATTTATTTTCCGCAAATTATACCGTGGGATCGACCCACCGTGCGCACGGTGTGCCGATCCCAAAATCAGTCACCAGATCTTCTTCCGACTTCAACCGCGCCCAATTCTTGAGCTTTGAAAATTTTCAGATTCATCATCGAAGCACACTGTCGTCTTCCATCTTCATCATCCACGACAAACTTACTGCTCAATCCCCATGGTTTCATTGAGTTCAAAACTCTCTCCATCAAATCCCTAGAAAACCTCAAATCCTACCCCTCGTTGAGTACCTCTGCAACTGTTCAAATAAACAACCCAACAATCACTTTCCATTGAATCACTTTCCTGGTGAGCTACGATTCGACGAACTCTTCCTCCATCCGTTCAAGCTTGAGGGACCTCGAAGCTTCTAGCCCCTTCTGTTTCCGTTGCGTCCAATCATCCCGTTCAAGCGGCGCTGCCGGCTAAACTTCTTATTTGAAATATTTGAAGGACATACTTCTGTCAACTACTCCGTACAAAATTTTAAATTGCATTTTAAAATAAGTAGAATTTATTAAATCTGTAAACTCATATTTGTAATTGACCTCAATCAGTAATACATTTCACATAATCTCACTATTGGTCGGGTTTGTGGATGATGGCGTTAATGGTGGGACCTATCCGGTCTCTGTTGGTTTTTCGATGATATAAAAAATTATTCATAAGATATCGATTATGAAAATCAGAGATAGAAAAAATTTAGTTTGAGTCAGCTTTCTTTAGCTCGGGTTCGGTCTAGGATTGAATAGAGCCGGTTAAGGACCGATTGAAGAATTATCATATTTGAGTATTGTTTAATAATGCCATAACACACTTTCACATATTTGCACCCCCCCCCCCCCCTTATTTGCCAATTTACTCGGGCAATTCGTATAAAAATGCAATTCGTATAAATGCATACTCACCATATTACTTGATATGTTTATACTTAGACTTATTTCAGTCTCAAACCAAACCAAACTTAAACAAACCAGACCAGACCATACTTGGGTATTAGAAATAGTAGAAGCACCTATTTGAACATTTTCCCACAAATTTAGATTCAAGTATAAATCCAGAATGACATAACACACTTTCACATATTTTACTCCCTTATTTTACCCATTTAGAGAGACAATTAGTGTACAAAATGCAATTCGTATAAAATTATAGTCACCTTATTACCTAGTTATAATAAATAACTTACCTTCAATTAATTTATATAAACCTTTGATTTTCGGCAGGTGTTGCCGGTGATACCTCATGGGAGTAGACATGATATAGTCAATGCGACGATTAATTCATCATATCTGTGGTCGGAATGCACAAACCTTCATTTGATAAAAATATGCGAATGCAGAACACAACTACTCCATCATATTCTTACGATTTGAAGGTCTTTTCAGATTGGATTGCCAACGTTGATGACAGTATTGCGGGTGAAAGTAATGATAGTCATGTTCGTATTACTATTCCTGAAGATCTATTGATACGCAGATGGAGATCCTATAGCTGGGAATGTTAAAAGCATATTTCCGAAATATGTTGAATCTACAGGTGATATGAGTTGTTTGCGTGATCGTGCAATCTTGGCACCGACACTGGCTTTGGTTGAAGCTGTTAATGACTATATGACGGCTCTTAATGTTGGTGAAGTTTCAAGAACATATCTCAGTTCCGACACTGTTTCTAAGGTAGATTCTACGACCGATCTAATGGCAGAACTGCACACAACCGAGTTCTTGAATAGTACTCCCTTCGTCCCAATTTACATGTCCTACATTCCTTTTTGGGTTGTCCCAAAATAAGTGTCTCCTTTCCTTTTTTTGAAAAGAAATATGTGACCTACATCATTTCACTTTATTATACTCAAACCTCAACCACAACTTTTACTTTTTCAACCACTTCATCGATAATCGTGCCAAGTCAAACTAAGACACATAAAATGGGACGGAGGTAATATAAAATTGTCTGGTGTACTGAATAATGAGTTAATGTTAAAGGTGAGGACCCCTTGATGCTTTTGCGAAATATCGATCATTCAATGGGGTTGTGTAACGGGACACATCTTATTCTTACGAGGCTCGGTGATCATGTTTTGGAGGGGAAAATTTTAACTGGTGTGAGTGCTGAACAAAAAGTATTAATTCATAGATTGTCCTTGACACCATCCGATGCCACCTTGCCTTTCAAATTTCTTGGCGACAATATCCCGTTATGACTTCATATGCTATGACTATAAATAAAACTCAAGGTCAATCTTTGTCCCGTGTTGGGTTGTTGTTGAAAAAATCGGTATTTACCCATGAACAGTTGTATGTTGTAGTATCAAGGGTTACCAATCGTTGTGGTTTGAAAATTCTAATTGTTGATGAAGATGAAGAAACCACTGACAAGACTCAGAATGTTGTATTCAAAGAAGTGTTCAACAATGTTTAGGTTTACATTAAATGGATTTTTACAATGTTATGGTTTCAACGTATTTGTTGGATGTTTTTTATCTTTTAAATAATGCTTAGTACTCTCATTTTGACCATAATATTATAAGTGTGTATCGTTTAATGCTTTAATGTATATCAATATTACATGAAAATAGATTATGTCATCAATTGATAGTGTGATTTGAATCCCTAAGCACACATAAACTTGAAAGAAGATTTCTCAAACCGTGCATCGCACGGGTGAGTTACTAGTTATTATAAAAAGACATTACTACTAAAGTCTAAAAATATCCCACACCGTATGATTGAAGATTTTAAAACGATATAAGATTTGATATTTTTGACTTTGATGTGTTGGTAATGATTATTCAGAAGGCTTGTTCACAATTTAAGAAGTATACATTTATAACTTATGAGTTGCCATTTGTATAACATTCTGTTACTACTAATTACAATTATCAATAATTATTATTAGTAATTAATAGAATGTTATACAGATGGCAACTGATAAATAATAAATGTACACTTTCAATTACAAGTTATCTACTCTTTTAGACAAATTATATTGTGGGATCGATACATCGTACATGGTGTATCGATTCTACTTCTCCTTTATTTTGCTTTTGTGCACATATGTATTTCCTTTTCTCTTTTCTTCTTTTTCTTCTTTTTCATTTTCTACTATTCTTCTTTTACTTCTCCATCAAATATTAAAAACGTAATTATAAATTTACTTTTTTCTTTATATTCAACTGAAATTAAAACTCAATCTACTATTTATTCTTTATAAATTCTGTTAGATAATTCAATTTAATTGTAATTATCTTTGTTTATTAGATTAGTATTAGTGGACTTTTTAATTAAAGTGGGCTAGCTAATTATTTGAACTAGGCGTGCGGTTATTCTCTGTCCTATAAATATAGGCAGAGGTTCGAAGTTCGAACTTCTCCCCATTTATTTTCCGCAAATTATACCGTGGGATCGACCCACCGTGCGCACGGTGTGCCGATCCCAAAATCAGTCACCAGATCTTCTTCCGACTTCAACCGCGCCCAATTCTTGAGCTTTGAAAATTTTCAGATTCATCATCGAAGCACACTGTCGTCTTCCATCTTCATCATCCACGACAAACTTACTGCTCAATCCCCATGGTTTCATTGAGTTCAAAACTCTCTCCATCAAATCCCTAGAAAACCTCAAATCCTACCCCTCGTTGAGTACCTCTGCAACTGTTCAAATAAACAACCCAACAATCACTTTCCATTGAATCACTTTCCTGGTGAGCTACGATTCGACGAACTCTTCCTCCATCCGTTCAAGCTTGAGGGACCTCGAAGCTTCTAGCCCCTTCTGTTTCCGTTGCGTCCAATCATCCCGTTCAAGCGGCGCTGCCGGCTAAACTTCTTATTTGAAATATTTGAAGGACATACTTCTGTCAACTACTCCGTACAAAATTTTAAATTGCATTTTAAAATAAGTAGAATTTATTAAATCTGTAAACTCATATTTGTAATTGACCTCAATCAGTAATACATTTCACATAATCTCACTATTGGTCGGGTTTGTGGATGATGGCGTTAATGGTGGGACCTATCCGGTCTCTGTTGGTTTTTCGATGATATAAAAAATTATTCATAAGATATCGATTATGAAAATCAGAGATAGAAAAAATTTAGTTTGAGTCAGCTTTCTTTAGCTCGGGTTCGGTCTAGGATTGAATAGAGCCGGTTAAGGACCGATTGAAGAATTATCATATTTGAGTATTGTTTAATAATGCCATAACACACTTTCACATATTTGCACCCCCCCCCCCCCCTTATTTGCCAATTTACTCGGGCAATTCGTATAAAAATGCAATTCGTATAAATGCATACTCACCATATTACTTGATATGTTTATACTTAGACTTATTTCAGTCTCAAACCAAACCAAACTTAAACAAACCAGACCAGACCATACTTGGGTATTAGAAATAGTAGAAGCACCTATTTGAACATTTTCCCACAAATTTAGATTCAAGTATAAATCCAGAATGACATAACACACTTTCACATATTTTACTCCCTTATTTTACCCATTTAGAGAGACAATGTGACACTCCTAAAATTTAATAAAAAGGATTTAATATAAACTAACACATGGTAACTGTTAATTGTATCTGTGAATACTTTTCTTAACATATGCTTCGGGACGAAGCAACTTTTAAGGAGGGTAGAATGTGACACCCCCGAAAATTTAAATAAAATAAATAAATTTATTAGTCAGATAAGATAAAGTGTTATGAAAGTCACATTTTAATAATTAAGTGAATCTGATAAAGTTTTAACATCGGTGATATTTTTTATCGGATAAAAATGTTTCAATAATAAAAGTGACATTTTTATAATTATTAGGTTGATCAGATAGGACCTTGACTTAAATAACAAAAGTGACATTTTTGTAACAAGTGATAATTATACATATGATAAAAATAATAATTGTACATATTCTGATCCACACATACAAATAATACTTTTTTTTAAAACAAATAATACTTAATAGCTAAAGACATATACAACCTAAAATTAAAAATGTACATGCATATACTACGGGTAAGGCATTAAGCTAGCACATGCATATGCTATGTATCAAACAAGAATTCACTCTCCAAGGGACCAAAAGGCCGTGCAATTCTTAATGATAGTATATGATACATGCACCTACTACTCTAATAATATTAGGTACCTGACAAATACACATGGGTACCTACCTGGCAAATACACATGCATTAACCCTACAGAGTATAAACTAGCAAGGAAACTGCGATTGACCATAGCATCCATGCGTTTTATACAAAGCTAACCCGTTTTATACGCAATTCAAAGCTAACCGGATGAACCTTCTGAGTGGATATATATACACGTCTCCCTCAAAGAAAATAAACAAAGAGAAAAGAAGTCTGAGCCTCGCCGATCAACTCACCATCATATCGCGAGAGGAAAGAAAAGATACAAGTAGGTGTAGGAAAACAGAGAGATAGAGGGAGAGAGAGAAGGGCCACCTTCCTCGTCGCCGCAGAACGAACGTCGGCGGTGAAGATTACTACAACGCCGCAGAAGGTATCTCGCCGCTCCACTGTTGGAGAAGAAGACCCAGTTGTACGCCGGACCAAGCCGCCATCGCCGGAGTGACGCGCTGGCCGTTCCGTCAACACCGCCGCCAGAGAGAAGGAAGTGCCGCGCCACCAGGCACCGCGGATAGAGTAACATCGCTGGAAGAAGAAGGCCGTCTGAAGTCCGCCGTTGTCATCGCCGGAAGAAGAAGCTGCCACGGTTGACGTTACTATCTTTGTCCTGCTCGTTTCAGTCGACGACGAAGACCAAGTACGTAATATGCACTCTGGGTTTTATTTAATTGATATATATTGGCCAGTTATTGTCATAAACAAATACGTAGGTAGTATGCATACAGAGATAGTATAATATGCTGGCCGCTAGTGTCTTAGCTGGTTCGGCCCAAATTTATAACAAAGACATAAGTTATAATAATAATGATAATTATAACAATGATAACAAGAATAGAGATTAATTTATTATTAAAGGATTTAATAATAATAGAGGGAATTAATGAATAAAGCGTAGATGAGTTTAACCAGTTCGAATAAGGAATTGATATTAGAATTTTTAATATTCTTAGAAGGTGAAGATCGAGGTAGAAGCTTCGGTTAGAAATTATCGTGACTCGAGGTAAGTACTATGTCAACCAAGTTTCATGCTTTTCCCATATAAATTTATTTGTGACTAGTTATTTGAGATCATTTGAGTATATGATAGTTAATGAGATTTTACGTATCAATTGTGATTGTGAATTATATATATTCGAGATTTGAGTATTTTTATATTGGGTGATATTTTGAGCATTTGAATTTACATATGAATTGGTATTGGATTGAGATTTGAGATTCGAGCTATCTATGAAGTATCCTATATTTTGGACTATTTATGGTATATTTGAGTATGATGAGTTGGAGTTAATAATTTCATTGTGAATAATTTTGTGGAATTTGGATTTCATATCCATTTTGATTGATATGATACTTGAAATTGAGATTGGATTATGATTTTTGTGAGTACTCGGAGAAGTGTGGATTTGGTGAGTGGTAATGGCTATAAGTCTAACTCCACCAGGGATCTCCCAAAAGTGGAGCATCCCAGCTTAATTGTAGTAGTCGGTAGAAAAATCCCGACTACTCGGACTTTTTACTACCCGGAGAGCTTGGAATCTCTTTTAGGGGGTGTGCACACTTAAGGTAGGAGTTCGGCTTCCATTGGATTTGATTGAGTTTGGATGATTGGATTATATTTGGATTTAATTGGACTTGGATTCCATTGGTATTGAGGTGATTTGGATTATTTGGTTGGACTTGATTGAGGTGAATGGAATTACATTATATTGGATTATTTGAGTGAATTATATTTGTTTGAATTGGGTTGAATTTGATGTGGTTGAGATTATTAAATTATTCGTAGATTTCCAAAGTAATACTTTTGGATTTGGTTTGATATGATTACGTTGAATATTGATTATGAGTATTTGGAAGTATTTTGAGGTAGATATATTTGGAGTTTTACATATAATTTATGTTTTGGAATATTTACGAGAATTTTGGTGGTTTATGTACATTGACATTTTAGAATTATTATGATTTGGAAATTTGTACCTATATTTGGAATATTATTATTTTACATGTGATTTTGTGATGAGAATTTGTATAAAGTGTTTCAAAAGGTTTCCTCCCAAATGTTTTCACAAAATGATATATATGTATCAAACATGATTATTTTACAGGGTTGGGTAGGCCTTACTTAGCATTTCCAGCTAATTTTTGTTTCTTTGTGTTTTTCTTTCTGTACTTAATTTGTGCAGGAATTGAGGATCATATTGAAGTTGATTTCGAGAGCTTCCGCTAGAACACATAGACTAAAGTGATTGAGTAATTTATTTTAGTCTTAATTTTAAAGAATTGTAGTTGAACAATTAAATATGGAAAATTTTAATTTGTTGGTGGTGGATAGCCTGTGCACTCGGTTATGTGAGAACCGAGTGTGGCGGTAACGCCCCTATTTCCCTTTGAATTTTCCGCTGCATAATTCTGATAAATCATTATTTAAATGTATTTTTGGGTGGGAAATTTGGGGGGGTGTTACAAGTTGGTATCAGAGCCCTTGATTTTTAAATGGGGGTTTGCAAATAAAAGTTTTTCCTAAAGTGACTATGGTTTTCAAAAAAAAAAAAAAAATAGTTTCGAACATTTTTTTTGACTTTCTAAAACTTCATTGAGTAATACCAACAAGTTGGTATGAGAGACTTTGATTTTCTAAAATGGGGGTTTTAAACAATTTCTGAGATTTTCTTAAACTCCCTTAAGTGTATCAAAGCCTTAATATTTTCCAAGGGGATTTTTGTAAAATGCTTTTTTTGAAATACTAGGAAATTAATTTACTAGGGAATAAGTAAGAACTTCTAGGACCGCGGTGAGAATGTGAGATTTTGAATTTCTATTTTGGTGGAGTTTGTTGACTTATATGAGATATATCATTATTGACTCAGTTGAGAATGAGTTTGGACTTTTAGAGGAACTTACCAAATGTGAATAGTGAGTTATTAGGTAAGGTAGTGTAATTGGTGAATATCATTCTATAAACTTCGTGTCCTAAACATTATTCTTTCAAGTAGACAATGAAGTCAACAAGAAACAAAGTAGAAGACAATGTCGCCGCACCGACGAATGCGGAGTTGGCTCAAAATATGGTTCAACTCATCCAGACTATCGGGAGTGTGTTAGTTCAGAACAAACACCAACAACGTCTCAAAAACCGCAATGATGTAGCGAAACTTGTAGCGAAGCACAATCCACCGTGTTATTTAGGCCAAGAAGATCCTCTCATCCTTGAGGATTGGATTCGCACTTTCGACAAACTTTTCGATGCTATAAATTGCCCTGCAGATCAACGAATTAATACGGCTGCGTACTATCTACGTCAAGAGGCAGACAATTGGTGGGCCACGACTGCCCCAACGTTGCGTCAACAACCCGACTTTTCTTGGGAGACGTTCAAGGAGGCAATGCGAAAAAGATTCTACCCAGAGCACGTGAGAGCTGAGAAGTATGAAGAATTTTTACACCTGAAGCAAATAGGCATGACTGTTCAAGAGTACCACTCTAAATTCTTGAATCTCGCACGATTTGCACCCACGCTAGTTCCCGATGAAATCGAGAAAACAAATAAGTTTATACGCGGTCTGAACTTCGAGACACAAAAAGCTCTTTGCGTTTCAGAATGCCAAACGTTGAACGATGCCTACAACAAAGCTGGCAAGCACTATCGAGTGCAACAACTCCAGAAGAAAACACTCAAGAGAGCGAGGAAAGTGACTGAAGGAGAAAGCAAAACAGGAGGCAAACAATGCAAGCTAAATCAGCTAGGGCACACTCGGAACGGGAAGAAGATCAACAACCAAGGCCAAGACCAGAAGCGTAAGAAGAAGAACTCAACTGAAGAGATGCACTTCTACTGCTCGAAGTGTAGAAAGGATCACCCCGGGAAATACTGTGATGGAACGCTTGTACGATGTTTTCATTGTGACAAGCTAGGGCATAGGGTGTTTGAGTGTTATTCAAGGAAGAAGGAAATCCCTCCAACTCGTGGACTCAATCGTCATCCAAAACGCAATGGAAGAACCTCAGAATAGTAGGCGAAAATATATCAATTCCTAATTTTCATAATTAGTAAAAATGTTTGAGAATTATGTATCGTTTGATCTTTGACGAATAAATTATTTTCTTGAATAAGTTAAATGCTTCGGGGACGAAGCATTCTTTTAAGGAGGGTAGAATGTGACACTCCTAAAATTTAATAAAAAGGATTTAATATAAACTAACACATGGTAACTGTTAATTGTATCTGTGAATACTTTTCTTAACATATGCTTCGGGACGAAGCAACTTTTAAGGAGGGTAGAATGTGACACCCCGAAAATTTAAATAAAATAAATAAATTTATTAGTCAGATAAGATAAAGTGTTATGAAAGTCACATTTTAATAATTAAGTGAATCTGATAAAGTTTTAACATCGGTGATATTTTTTATCGGATAAAAATGTTTCAATAATAAAAGTGACATTTTTATAATTATTAGGTTGATCAGATAGGACCTTGACTTAAATAACAAAAGTGACATTTTTGTAACAAGTGATAATTATACATATGATAAAAATAATAATTGTACATATTCTGATCCACACATACAAATAATACTTTTTTTTAAAACAAATAATACTTAATAGCTAAAGACATATACAACCTAAAATTAAAAATGTACATGCATATACTACGGGTAAGGCATTAAGCTAGCACATGCATATGCTATGTATCAAACAAGAATTCACTCTCCAAGGGACCAAAAGGCCGTGCAATTCTTAATGATAGTATATGATACATGCACCTACTACTCTAATAATATTAGGTACCTGACAAATACACATGGGTACCTACCTGGCAAATACACATGCATTAACCCTACAGAGTATAAACTAGCAAGGAAACTGCGATTGACCATAGCATCCATGCGTTTTATACAAAGCTAACCCGTTTTATACGCAATTCAAAGCTAACCGGATGAACCTTCTGAGTGGATATATATACACGTCTCCCTCAAAGAAAATAAACAAAGAGAAAAGAAGTCTGAGCCTCGCCGATCAACTCACCATCATATCGCGAGAGGAAAGAAAAGATACAAGTAGGTGTAGGAAAACAGAGAGATAGAGGGAGAGAGAGAAGGGCCACCTTCCTCGTCGCCGCAGAACGAACGTCGGCGGTGAAGATTACTACAACGCCGCAGAAGGTATCTCGCCGCTCCACTGTTGGAGAAGAAGACCCAGTTGTACGCCGGACCAAGCCGCCATCGCCGGAGTGACGCGCTGGCCGTTCCGTCAACACCGCCGCCAGAGAGAAGGAAGTGCCGCGCCACCAGGCACCGCGGATAGAGTAACATCGCTGGAAGAAGAAGGCCGTCTGAAGTCCGCCGTTGTCATCGCCGGAAGAAGAAGCTGCCACGGTTGACGTTACTATCTTTGTCCTGCTCGTTTCAGTCGACGACGAAGACCAAGTACGTAATATGCACTCTGGGTTTTATTTAATTGATATATATTGGCCAGTTATTGTCATAAACAAATACGTAGGTAGTATGCATACAGAGATAGTATAATATGCTGGCCGCTAGTGTCTTAGCTGGTTCGGCCCAAATTTATAACAAAGACATAAGTTATAATAATAATGATAATTATAACAATGATAACAAGAATAGAGATTAATTTATTATTAAAGGATTTAATAATAATAGAGGGAATTAATGAATAAAGCGTAGATGAGTTTAACCAGTTCGAATAAGGAATTGATATTAGAATTTTTAATATTCTTAGAAGGTGAAGATCGAGGTAGAAGCTTCGGTTAGAAATTATCGTGACTCGAGGTAAGTACTATGTCAACCAAGTTTCATGCTTTTCCCATATAAATTTATTTGTGACTAGTTATTTGAGATCATTTGAGTATATGATAGTTAATGAGATTTTACGTATCAATTGTGATTGTGAATTATATATATTCGAGATTTGAGTATTTTTATATTGGGTGATATTTTGAGCATTTGAATTTACATATGAATTGGTATTGGATTGAGATTTGAGATTCGAGCTATCTATGAAGTATCCTATATTTTGGACTATTTATGGTATATTTGAGTATGATGAGTTGGAGTTAATAATTTCATTGTGAATAATTTTGTGGAATTTGGATTTCATATCCATTTTGATTGATATGATACTTGAAATTGAGATTGGATTATGATTTTTGTGAGTACTCGGAGAAGTGTGGATTTGGTGAGTGGTAATGGCTATAAGTCTAACTCCACCAGGGATCTCCCAAAAGTGGAGCATCCCAGCTTAATTGTAGTAGTCGGTAGAAAAATCCCGACTACTCGGACTTTTTACTACCCGGAGAGCTTGGAATCTCTTTTAGGGGGTGTGCACACTTAAGGTAGGAGTTCGGCTTCCATTGGATTTGATTGAGTTTGGATGATTGGATTATATTTGGATTTAATTGGACTTGGATTCCATTGGTATTGAGGTGATTTGGATTATTTGGTTGGACTTGATTGAGGTGAATGGAATTACATTATATTGGATTATTTGAGTGAATTATATTTGTTTGAATTGGGTTGAATTTGATGTGGTTGAGATTATTAAATTATTCGTAGATTTCCAAAGTAATACTTTTGGATTTGGTTTGATATGATTACGTTGAATATTGATTATGAGTATTTGGAAGTATTTTGAGGTAGATATATTTGGAGTTTTACATATAATTTATGTTTTGGAATATTTACGAGAATTTTGGTGGTTTATGTACATTGACATTTTAGAATTATTATGATTTGGAAATTTGTACCTATATTTGGAATATTATTATTTTACATGTGATTTTGTGATGAGAATTTGTATAAAGTGTTTCAAAAGGTTTCCTCCCAAATGTTTTCACAAAATGATATATATGTATCAAACATGATTATTTTACAGGGTTGGGTGGGCCTTACTTAGCATTTCCAGCTAATTTTTGTTTCTTTGTGTTTTTCTTTCTGTACTTAATTTGTGCAGGAATTGAGGATCATATTGAAGTTGATTTCGAGAGCTTCCGCTAGAACACATAGACTAAAGTGATTGAGTAATTTATTTTAGTCTTAATTTTAAAGAATTGTAGTTGAACAATTAAATATGGAAAATTTTAATTTGTTGGTGGTGGATAGCCTGTGCACTCGGTTATGTGAGAACCGAGTGTGGCGGTAACGCCCCTATTTCCCTTTGAATTTTCCGCTGCATAATTCTGATAAATCATTATTTAAATGTATTTTTGGGTGGGAAATTTGGGGGGGTGTTACAGACAATTAGTGTACAAAATGCAATTCGTATAAAATTATAGTCACCTTATTACCTAGTTATAATAAATAACTTACCTTCAATTAATTTATATAAACCTTTGATTTTCGGCAGGTGTTGCCGGTGATACCTCATGGGAGTAGACATGATATAGTCAATGCGACGATTAATTCATCATATCTGTGGTCGGAATGCACAAACCTTCATTTGATAAAAATATGCGAATGCAGAACACAACTACTCCATCATATTCTTACGATTTGAAGGTCTTTTCAGATTGGATTGCCAACGTTGATGACAGTATTGCGGGTGAAAGTAATGATAGTCATGTTCGTATTACTATTCCTGAAGATCTATTGATACGCAGATGGAGATCCTATAGCTGGGAATGTTAAAAGCATATTTCCGAAATATGTTGAATCTACAGGTGATATGAGTTGTTTGCGTGATCGTGCAATCTTGGCACCGACACTGGCTTTGGTTGAAGCTGTTAATGACTATATGACGGCTCTTAATGTTGGTGAAGTTTCAAGAACATATCTCAGTTCCGACACTGTTTCTAAGGTAGATTCTACGACCGATCTAATGGCAGAACTGCACACAACCGAGTTCTTGAATAGTACTCCCTTCGTCCCAATTTACATGTCCTACATTCCTTTTTGGGTTGTCCCAAAATAAGTGTCTCCTTTCCTTTTTTTGAAAAGAAATATGTGACCTACATCATTTCACTTTATTATACTCAAACCTCAACCACAACTTTTACTTTTTCAACCACTTCATCGATAATCGTGCCAAGTCAAACTAAGACACATAAAATGGGACGGAGGTAATATAAAATTGTCTGGTGTACTGAATAATGAGTTAATGTTAAAGGTGAGGACCCCTTGATGCTTTTGCGAAATATCGATCATTCAATGGGGTTGTGTAACGGGACACATCTTATTCTTACGAGGCTCGGTGATCATGTTTTGGAGGGGAAAATTTTAACTGGTGTGAGTGCTGAACAAAAAGTATTAATTCATAGATTGTCCTTGACACCATCCGATGCCACCTTGCCTTTCAAATTTCTTGGCGACAATATCCCGTTATGACTTCATATGCTATGACTATAAATAAAACTCAAGGTCAATCTTTGTCCCGTGTTGGGTTGTTGTTGAAAAAATCGGTATTTACCCATGAACAGTTGTATGTTGTAGTATCAAGGGTTACCAATCGTTGTGGTTTGAAAATTCTAATTGTTGATGAAGATGAAGAAACCACTGACAAGACTCAGAATGTTGTATTCAAAGAAGTGTTCAACAATGTTTAGGTTTACATTAAATGGATTTTTACAATGTTATGGTTTCAACGTATTTGTTGGATGTTTTTTATCTTTTAAATAATGTTTAGTACTCTCATTTTGACCATAATATTATAAGTGTGTATCGTTTAATGCTTTAATGTATATCAATATTACATGAAAATAGATGATGTCATCAATTGATAGTGTGATTTGAATCCCTAAGCACACATAAACTTGAAAGAAGATTTCTCAAACCGTGCATCGCACGGGTGAGTTACTAGTTATTATAAAAAGACATTACTACTAAAGTCTAAAAATATCCCACACCGTATGATTGAAGATTTTAAAACGATATAAGATTTGATATTTTTGACTTTGAAGTGTTGGTAATGATTGTTCAGAAGGCTTGTTCACAATTTAAGAAGTATACATTTATAACTTATGAGTTGCCATTTGTATAACATTCTGTTACTACTAATTACAATTATAAATAATTATTATTAGTAATTAATAGAATGTTATACAGATGGCAACTAATAAATAATAAGTGTACACTTTCAATTACAAGTTATCTACTCTTTTAGACAAATTATATTGTGGGATCGATACATCATGTACATGGTGTATCGATTCTACTTCTCCTTTATTTTGCTTTCGCGCACATATGTATTTCCTTTTCTCTTTTCTTCTTTTTCTTCATTTTCATTTTCTACTATTCTTCTCTTACTTCTCCATCAAATATTAAAAACGTAATTATAAATTTACTTTTTTCCTTATAATCAACTGAAATTAAAACTCAATTTACTTTTTATTCTTTATGAATTCTGTTAATAATATATTATATGGTGTTAAATTTAATTGTAATTATCTTTGTTTATTAGATTAGAATTAGTGGACTTTTTAATTAAAGTGGGCTAGCTAATTATTTGAACTAAGCATGCGGTTATTCTATGTCCTATAAATATAGGTAGAGGTTCGAAGTTCGAACTTCTCCCCATTTATTTCCAACAACAGGTGAACTATTCTATTTAAGAATGATGCTCACTGTAATAAAAGGGCCACATTGTTGTGAGGATATTAGGACGGTTGCCAACCATCCTAATATATTGGAGCATTAAAAGAAGTTAAGGCTGAGCATCAGGGCACTACTTGAGAAAATTGTTTGTAACTCTGCTCTTATCATGTCCCGTCAGCAGACTTGAGCATGTCTGGGAACAAACTTGGCAGTGGTTGGCTGATGGAATTTTGTATGAACAACGAAGGCTCTCGAAAATCCAAGGTAAGTCAGATCAATTAAAAATTAACTGTTCTCTAATCATATGTAATATGAAAAATTATTCACGAGGCTTACTCTACCAAAAAAGTTATAAGATTTGTGATTAAAAGAATCACCCTGAATTGCATTCACCTTATATTTGAATTCGAATAGAAAACATAAAGTATATATGATTAGTTTAGCAGATCTATGTTACTCTTTTAAATTTTTTACTAATTATATAATTAAAAAATTAGTAAAACATTAAATTAGTTATTTCCTGTTACCATAAATTAACATTATTTTCCGATTACTGCAATCAACTTTTCTTACCTTAGGTATTAAAATAATTCACGTATCAAGTAACATATAATTTATTTCACCTGTCAAGTAACGTAAATTAGTCATTCATTTTCATAAAAGAATATATTCAAATAAAAATATTTCATAATTTCAATTGTCTGCATATCTCATTTGCAATTTATTTGCATCAATGTGACAAATTGAATGATTTACAATAAAAACATAATGAGAGTGAACACATACAACATATATGAACATCTTCTTCTAATTACTAATTCAATTGTGTTTATTACATTCGTAGATTTACAACTTAGTGATCAAGAGTTGCAAAATTTAACTCTTGTGGAGATCGAGAAGTTGATGCAAAAAAAGAGAAAAAGTCTAAAAGATTATCCCTCAATACCGTATCCAAATGGATATATCACGGAACAACTAGGGAATAAGCTTATTTATGCAGAAAGTGATTATGATACATCCAAGTTGCGTGAGGAGTTCCAAACTTTGTATGCTTCTCTTACCGGTAAAATAAATACAATTCATATGATTTATAAGTCAAATTAAATGATTTTGAGAGTCAAGAAGAAAAATGATTTCCTGCATATATTTTGATGCTAATGTTGCAGATGAACAGAAAGACATATTTGACACAATAATGGAAGCTGCAAATAACCAAAAAGGCGGAGTATACTTTTTATATGGTTGTGGTGGTACAGGAAAAATATTTATGTGGAGGACACTAGCTTCTGCCTTACGTTCTCAGCGTCATATTGTTTTAACTATCGCGTCCAGTGGTATAGCTTCTCTACTCTTACCTGGCGGTAGAACTGCACACTCTAAATTTTCAATCCAAGTTCCTACTCTAGAGAACTCTACATGCAATATACATCAAGGGAGTGAACTTGCAGAGCTCTTAAAACAGACTAAGTTGATAATATTGGATGAAGCAACAATGGCTAATAAATTTTGTTTTGAAGCACTAGACAGAAGCCTAAATGACATCATCAACAATGATGGTAATTCAATTTTACCATTCGGAGGAAGAGTGGTTGTCTTTGGAGGAGACTTCAGACAAACTTTACCAGTTATTCCTGGAGGAAGCCGTTCAGACATTGTTAATGCTACAATCAATTCTTCATATCTATGGGATGACTGTCAGGTATTAACTCCATTTTTAGTACCATAACAAATATGTTTACTTTTACTATAATTTACAAATTCATTTAACCACAATATAATGAATAATAAAGTACCACTAATTACTTTATATTAGCTCACATTCATTCGTTCACTTTTAGCTTAAACAAAGTACCACTAATTACTTTATATTAGCTGAAATTCATTCGTTCACTTTTAGCTTAAACAAAGTACCACTAATTACATTAATTATTTAACTATTTCGCCTAATCACTTTATAATTTTTTTTGGAATAATTACTTTACAAGTTATACTCAAATATAAGTATTACTTTTTTTTGTTTATCGATAGGTACTGTCTCTTACTAAAAATATGCGACTTCAAAATAGTTTGGATATGACAAGTGCTACTGAGCTCAAAGAATTTTCAAAATGGATATTGGATGTGGGGGATGGAAAAATATCAGAGCCAAACGATGGTTATGCAGAAATAAAAATTCGAGATGAATTCTTGATTAAAGAATTTGATGATCCAATTGATTCAATAATTCGTAGCACGTATCCTAACTTGCTGGAGCAATACAAAAATGAGGAATTTCTCAAGTCTAGAGCTGTATTGGCATTAACTATTGAAATTGTCGATAAAATAAACGACTATGTTCTTTCAACGCTCCCAAGTAATATTATAAAAATGCTACCTTCCTTATTTACTTACAAAATAAATTCTTAAACAAATTTAATAATTAAATTAAGACTAATGAACTTTTATAACTACAAGTGAAGAAAGAGAATATTTAAGTTGCGATTCTGTAGACAAGTCAGATGTAGTTGAAGACGAAGCATTTGAAACGTTGACACCAGAATTTCTCAATTCCTTGAGAACATCAGGTCTCCCAAATCACAACATACGGCTTAAGGTTAGGACTCCAGTAATGTTGTTAAGAAATATAGACCAGTAAAGACTATGTAATGGAACTAG